CAAATCTGTAATTGAAATTGAGGACGATTAAGAAGCAAGCTACTCCAAGATGTTATAAGAGAAATTCAATTTTGATAGGAATTAAATTGCGCGTATCTTGTCACCTTTTTAATTAAAATTGAGAAACAGAAGAAGGATGTGTAATGTATATGGGATTACGAGAATTGAAAGTAAATATAAATTGATAAATATTGATATTAATTGTGTTTTTTAATTGCGATATCGAATTTGTATTTTATTATCGTATGAATGAAGCGAGGGAAAAAAATTAGATCAAAGAGAGATAACGTTAAACAATGATAAACTCGGATTTATCGTCTTACAATCGTTACGCAATACTTGTAGCACTTCGTTTCGAGCTTTACAGGTTTCCTTGATACAAGTATCCCTTCTTTTTTTCTCCCTTCAGGTATCGTGCTTCCCTGTAACAGAAAACCGTCGCCCTTGTCCCGATCTCCGGCATTCCAATTTTTTTTCTTCTTTCGACAAGAAAAAAAAAATAATAAATCGCAACGAAGAATACAATTTTAAATGTAACTTCAATTTACGGATATCCCTTTTGATGATTATTATATTGGACATGCTTCCACGTTCTAAGATCGCATTTCCTTTTCGGACAATGCACCGGAAGTGTCGACCAGGCCACTGTCCTCCAGATATCGCGTTGATCACACCTCAAACTTTGTCGCATATTCAACAACCGAAACGATTTCTTTCTATTACGACATTACGATCGAATTCCTTTTTTTTTCTTTTTTTTTTTTAATAATAATATTCGTTTCCACAATCGAAACGAATCGATCAGAAATAATTCCAAGATTAATAACGGAATAATTGAATGACGTGACAAATCGAGAAACAATTTATTTTAATCGTAACCATCGGCAGAAGATTTTTTTTTCTTTCTCCTCCCCCTTTAACGATTCAGGCACGAGGTTTGAATAATCTCGTTTCGTGAACGACGGCGTGCAGAGACGGCGGAAAAATGAGACGAAAGGGGTGAAAGCTGCGTGACAAGACTAGAAGTGGAGGTGTCTTTTTTACCCGGGGAGGAAGCACTTTGTCCTCGAAAATAATGAGATGTGTGTCTAGCGGACCTTGGAAAAGCGAACCAAAGAGAAAAAAGAAAAAAACACGAGACGAACTCGAGTTACGAATCATCTGGATCCCCTTGAATATACTTTTTATTCTTCCTTCCTTTTCCACGTTCCTCGCCATCTCTCACAATGGTGTTTCGTTACCGGTTCGAATTTCTTCTTTTTTTTTTTTTTCTTTTTGAATAAAAATTTGCATTATTTTATATTCGCCCTTGCTTCCAACAATGTTTTCAACCATCCAGAGAAAATTATTCGCCCGTTGATAAATCGATGCGATACGAACGTGAAAGGAAGTAGAAATATTCGACGAGAAGAAAATATTTCAGTTGTACCAATATTTACCGTACAGGGAGGCTAATGGATTTCTTCATTACAGTAATAGCGGACCCCTCCTTTGGGATTATCGGAAGGAAGGTTCGGATAATAAAGTGAAAAGCGGCTCGGCTGGCTCGATTTAAAAACCGCTTCATTTTCGATGCTTCTTTCCTCGATAGACCACCGACCTTGATTCCTGATTGTACCGGATTCCCTCGATTAGAAATAATTTTTGAATCTTGGAAATGTTTATCTTCTTCTTAAAAAAAAAAAAAAAAAAAAATATTTCCATTCGACTTTTGTAATTGGATCGTTTTCTAAATCGTTGGATGGATCATTTTTCGCTCACGTGGCTGGATTTAAATCCTCGTGCATCGTTGCGAACCGGAAATCGACCGAACACGGGAGATCGAGGTTTTCTCGTGTTACAAAGCTTGACTGGCTACGTTGCGTCGAGTCAAGTGCCGCAACGAAGCAAAAATTTCCGAATAATCGGATATTTCGCGATAGAAGTCTATAATTATCGACGAAAAAAAAAAAAAGAATCATTCCGTTATTTACTCGCGACGAATTTTCCATAATTTCTAACGTTTTCGAATCGGTTGGTTCGTATTTGCATTTAGTTAATGCAAAAATACCCCGAGAGTCGAGAATAGCGAGGAGCGCGGGTCAAAGAACTCGGTTTAGAGGAAAACCCTTTGAATAATTAAAGAAGGGCATTACAGTCAGGTGAGCGCTCGTTGCACCGGTGCAACAGACTCACTGTCGTCCAGGGTTTCGATCGATTTCCCAGTCATTGACCTCCACAACGATTATGTTAATGCCTTGTCGTAGGTTTCTATCAGTATTTTGTAATCGCGTATTTTTTCTTTTTTTTTTTTTTTTCTCTTTATGTTTTATTCCATAACATTAAAATTCGCATCTTAGGTGACGTAACACGTGCTTTCGCTTAAAAATTCTCACTCCTTCTTACGAAAGAAAAGTTTTAAGACCACACGCTTATTCACGACACGTTTCGACCACTTTTTCCTTCGCGTGTTTCGGCTAGCCGTGTCGTCGTAATTTTCCAGATAATGGATATTTGTATCGCCAATTGTTCTCTTTTTTTCTTCCTTCTTCTTCTTCTTTTTTTTTTTTTTTCTATATTTTTGCCTGTCCCCCATCCTAGCAACTTTCGAAAACCCGGCCTGTCTGATAAAGTGGCGCAGCTTGAAAGGGGGCCGGTGTGTAATCTGTTAAGTAAAACCGCAATGAAATTATCTTTCACCGACGAGAGGAAGCCGGGTAAACTCGAAACAAGTTCATTTTTCGTTCGTGCTCGCTTAAATAAAATCCATCCTGCGGAAGAGTTTTCATTTATAAAGTATCATATCTATCAAATGATTAGTAATAATGATTAGTAATAATGAATAGAGCCAATATACTCGCCGAGAAAAATTTCTCGGCAAACGAGAAAAAGGATAAAAAAAATTAAAAAAAAAAATTAAATTAATAATGTGTAAATTGTTATAAAAATCACGCGATGCAAATTTCTTTTACATAACGCATTCGCTTGGTATTTTAAAATTTGTAACTCGTTGCAACTCGTCGAATGGAAACATCGGTCGACCATTCCATCAGGAACGATTGGAAGAACAAGCACTTCCCTGCGACCCCCTGCTTCAAACTCGCATATAAAAGCGTTAACGAGACGATCTTTCTGCTCTCTATTATAACTCGCTATCACCGACTAGCTCTAGCTCTCCCACAGTTCGTAGAATTGAATCGCAGTAGCGGCCTCCGCTTAATTGGCCCGTTCACGACTAAATCACGTTTTTATCGGATTTCGAAACGAACTGGAATTGGAGCTTTTGAAATTTCTCCAGATTCCCCTCGTGAAAAATGTCTAGTTTACATTTTCTGATTTTTTATATATATATATTTTTTTTATATTTATTTTTCTTTTTTCTTTTTTCTTTTTTTTTTTTTATCTTATTCAGAGCGCTTCTCACGAATTTTTTACTCGACGAGCAAATACGTTGGATGTTTTTTAACGGGTATATAAGTCTATTTATATATTCGTTCTTTCCACGGTCGAATAATTCGAAATTTGGATCCGTCCATGGTGGGAAATATTTCGTCGCGAACGATTAAACTCTGTAATGCGAAATCAACTAGCCGCGGAACGAAAAGGGGGATGAATACTACTCTCGAATTACTTCGATTCACTGGTCTTTCGTTCGACGAAACGTCCCTTGCGTGGAAAATATCTGAATTTTTTCGAATATCATATTTTAACGTTACCCTCGAAAAATACCCTCGGAATATTATTGAAAACGCGAGAGGAATAATAACATCGCTTCGTTAAATTTTTAATTTTTCTACTAAATTTGTTCGTATTAATATGCACGTATTACGAGCTCAACATGTTAATACAAATTTTCGCCGTTTGAAAAGTCGTTTGTAATTATTTTTTAATTTCTTGGTTTCGTTGGTCTGATAAACAAAATGTCGTGCAAAATTTTATACGTCAAAGTTGCCTCGTCGCGATATGGTAGAGTCGACTCGAACGACAGGTTATACAGTTAGAATGGAGCGCGTGCAGTCGCCACGTTGAACCGTTCCAGCTTTTGCAGAAACCTGTACGATAAATCCGTTGGCGCACGTGGATTCGCGTGATTCGCCGAATGGCAGCTTGCACCAGAAACGAAACTTTGCATTTAAACAAGTTTAGAAACTAGTTCGTAGACGTATAATACCGACGGTGTGGTGGCTCCTTTTCTATGCGAATCGTCGAGAATTTCACGAATCGATTCCTCTCAATCCCGATAGATTCTCGTATCGTTCTCTCCACGCCTCGTATTATATATATTCGATAAAATATTCATTTCGTAAAATAATTCGTGTTCGGTAATGAGAGAATATATGAGAAAATAAAAGAAAGAACGAATTTCTCAAATTCTTTCTCAAATTGTTTTTCGATGAGAGAACAAAAGAAGGAATCAAACGGATTATTGTTTCTCATTCGAGAAAGAAAGGAAAGTAAGATCATCTTATTACGCAGTTTATCTGGCGCCCTATAGAAAGAGTGGCGCATCAGAAAATCAATGCAGCGGTCCAACGGGTATTAATCCAACGACGACCGGTCATCGACGTTTGATCCATTTTTCCTCAGGAGGAAACTAGGAAATAAATCTCTCTCCCTCCGCCCTCATTACGTTCACCCTTCGACCTGGCAATCCTTCCTCCCTGACCTACGTCCTACATCCGACCGTGCCCCCGTTTTCTCCCCCGTTTTTGTTCTCGCCCCAAAAACTGGTATCGGGGTTGCAGATGGAAAAATATTCTCTTTAATGTCGCGCTGCTCCTCCAGTTCCTTTCTTCCTTTCTTCCTCTCTTCCCCCCTCCCCCTCCCCCTGCCCCTCTCCCCCCTTATTCTCCGTTTCTCTCTCTCTCTCTCTCTCTCTCTCTCTCTCTCTGTATCGTAATTTCTTTTGTTAAAAATTCCTCGATTTTTTTCTTTAATACCGTTTTAATATCCGATCTTTTCAATTATTATATTGACTCGTTGATTAATTTTCTTTTTTTTTTTTTTTTTTTTTGCCGCAGGAATGTTCACTGTCGTGAATGGACGACCCACATTTCAATACAGTTTGCAAGAATGGAGGATCGTGGCCACCCATTACGGTGGATTGGCTGGTTTAACTTTTGTTGGACTCCTTCTGGCTGCGATTTTACCATGTGTGGGCTTGTTCTTCTGTTGCTGTAGATGCGCCGGTCATTGCGGTGCCAGGAGTCAACCGTTCGACAAGAAACACGATCATTGTAGGAAAGTGTTGTTGAGTATGGTGCTGATAGCGGTCGCTACTATTATTCTGTAAGTATCTTTCTCTTTTTCTCTTTCTCTCTCACTCTTTCCTTCCCTTCCCTTCGTTTCTCGTTTCAAAGAAGATAAAGATTATTCGATTTATCATCGACCCAAATAACCTCCTCTTCGAACGATAACTTCCTCTCCGTTTTAATTTCCATCCTCGATAATTCGAAATTCTCGTTTGCACCGGCTTTCACTCATCCAGCATCAATATCCATTTCAAAGAGAGTTTGAAACGAATATCCATATCGATAAATAATTATTCAACTACGAAGCGGGTATCGAAACGAGGAACGATACACAAAAGCAATCGAGATAGATTTCCAATTCGTTTATTCCGTACACGGACAAAGGCGCACGATTCCGACGTTGGTTGCAGGTTCGGCGTGGTCTGCGCCTTTGTGACGAACGAGTACATGCAAGACGGGACCAAGGAGCTTCCCAACAACGTGGAAGTTAGCCTGAAAGACGTGAAGTTGTATCTGAGCAGCACGAAGGAGGAGATCAATAAGATCCTCAAGACTAATTTCGACGAGCTGGAGATTAATTTGAACAACATCCTCCAGGCCAGTGGCAGAATCGTGACTGAACAACTCGCGGAATACTCCCACGCAGTCTCGTTGACCAATCTGAGCGATATCGTGGCTGGGTTGGAGTCCATCAAGGAGGATCTCAAGACCATGCAGACGATCACCCGCGATCTAAGGACGAACGCCAGTCAATTGGACATCGGTATGGATATCAATTTTTATGAAAAAAAAAGAAAAAGAAAAAAAAAGAAAAAAAAATATATATATATATTTTTTTTACTCGTTCCAGTTGTACGAGGCGTTAAAAACAATCTTCTTCACACGCTTGCGGCTTGCAAGACCCAAAATTGCAAACAGGTGTTGCACGATTACAAAGTGAATCAGATGTCGGTTCAAGTAGACTTCGACAAGGTATTTTCCGCTTTTCTTGTGTGCTCGTCGTCAACATTTACATCATCGATTTAATCTTCTTTCTCTTTTACATGCATTCAGTACATGGATCGATACTTCCCGAAGGTATGATAATTCTTCTGTTAACGTAGTTAGTTTTTTTTTTTTAACACTCCTTCGATTTATTATTCGCGTTCAGTGGCGAAGATTAGAAAAGTTATTACCTTAACATTATCTCTACCGCATCGATTCGATAAAATACACTACTTTCATTTTGTATACTCCTTTATTTTCTTTACGCTAATTATGTGTTATAACTTCATAAGAGAAGGAAGATGAATCTTAATCTCATTTCGCTTTTGCTTTTTAATTCTATCCAAATAGTAGACCAATGGAAATTTCTAATATAATCGTAATAATTTTCGTAAAAAAAAAAATAATAAATAAATAAATAAATAAATAAATAAAATAGTACGATGTAATTTATTTATTTTATTATCTTATGGATAACCAGCCATTGGTTTACGAATAGAATTATTGTATAAACTTATCTGATTCCATGCTTACCACCAAAATAGCTTCAGTCTGTAAGTCATAAGCTAAAGCATGTCAACTTTTTGGTTCTGTGTTATTATTCATTATATGTAGTGTCATTCATTCATAAATCTATGTATTAAATGTGACGTTTAGAATGATCTATAAATTTACTATACTTGACTCGAGAAAAAGAGGATTAATTAAAGCTTTTAGGCTAACTTTACCAGTATGCAAATAACATACATAAAAAAAAAGAAAAACAAAAGATGGAGAAGGAATGACATTTTTTTTTTTTTTTTTTTTTTCCTCTTATAATTATGCACAGTTTCTTTTGTCTCTTCTTCTGAATTGAGATCTGTCAAAACACATCTTCAATATACTTTTATTTTCAAACCGTGCACTCTTTGCATTCTCTATCAGTCCGTAACGAATAGCTTCTTAACAGAGACTTGGTACAATTTCAATGCACTTTATACACGACACGCAATTCCATTCTCTTTTAACATATCATTATCATATATGGAAATCGTCCATTTAAACGGATACTATAACGCATGACACTGTTTTCATATCGATACTTTTAACTGTTCTACACACACACACACACACACACACATATCTTCTCGTTTAATGTGTCCATTCAGGCATCGTTATATACTTCCAAATAGATAAACTCACTGGTCCTTGATATTCCGATAATCATTTATATCGAACGGTCGCGCGTTATTTTTTTTCCAGTTGCCAAACGTCACGTCCGCCTTGAACAATATCACGATGCTGATGAAGGACAACATCGTGTCGGAAGTCAGCCAGGGTAAAGAGTCGTTTCTGAAAATTCAGAAAGACATTCAATACGCCGTGAATCAGACCATCCCAGTGGTCAGCGCGAGCATCCGAAATGCCGGCGATTTTCTAGCCGACCTAGCGAGAAACATGACAATGCTCATCGATAGGATAAACAACGACATAGACAAGGTCTACATGAAGCAAATAGACGTTGCACGGACGAACATCGATCAGTATTCACCGTACAGGTAATAAAAGAGAACAGAAGCGAAGAACATTTCAGAGTCCGATAATTAGACAAATGTATTTTCCCTCTAGGTACTATCTAGGACTCGGGATATCGGGGATTTTATTAACAGTTCTAATGTGTCTGACTTTCGGTCTTTTCTGTGGCATTTGTGGAAAGCGGCCCGATGGTTACGGGGACGACTGTTGTAACAAAGGATCCGGTGCACGATTTCTCATGATGTAAGCTCGTATCGTATAGATCCAATTCTGAATTTAACTTGACAACAACGAATGCTTTCATTTCGTAATTTCATTTTCACCAGGGCTGTTTGGATCATCTTTCTTCTGACCAGTATTCTAATGGTGATCACGGTAATACACATGGTCGTCGGTGTTCTCGCGCAAAGGGCTGTCTGCGAACCTTTGAAAAATCCACAGGATAACAGGATGTTCGCTCTGGTCGACGAGATCGTACAGATAAAAAAGATACTGTATCCCAATAAACCCAATGCCGATGTGAACATGAGTTATATCATAACGTAAGTACTCGCCAACATAACCTCAAAGATTGTTGTCGAAAATTTTCAACTACGTATTCAATCCAAATCTGTTTTTTTTTTTTTTTTCTTTTTTATCCATCACAGAAACTGTCATCGAAACGAAACGTTGTACAAAGTTCTCAAGTTGAATTATCTGTTCGACGTGAACACGTTGCGCGAATACACCGGTCGCTACGACATCAACAACACTATCCAACAGCTTCGGCGCAAGATCAGTCTCTCACCTGGCGTGGTTATCCTCACGGAAAGCGCAAAGTCGAAATTGAACGATCTCGCGCAAAGTGGTCTCAGCGATATCAAGTTCTATCAATACGTGGAGATTCTCGCTGATAATATCACGAATATCAACTTGGAACATCTTGCCAAACAATTGTTGGACGTGTCAACGGAACTGCCAAAGGGGCAGGATGACATTCGAGCAAGTTTGGAGAAAAACGCACTGGATTTGGCGTATTATCACGAACATTTGGTGAAACCAATGGCGATGCTCAGCGAACAATTGGCAGCCAAGGCTGTGACCCTCGAGGAGAAGATAAAGTTTAATCACAGTTCGATGGCAGAGGCCATTCACAATCTCGTTGACGAAGTGACGAAGGCGCAAAAGTTTTTGAACGAAGATGGGCCAGAATACGTGCAACAAGTAAGTTTCGAGCAAGAATCTTTGCTGACATATCGACATTGTCTATTGTATGGATCTAATTTTAAATTTAAGTTCGAATAAAAAATCGTCAGGATTATTCGATGCTCTTTTAATTTTGCAGTTGGCCACTAAATTTGGAAACGCTTTCCTTCGTCAAGTGGACGATTTCCTCGAGAGAGTTATCGACCATGCTTTGTTCCACGTAGGAAAATGTACGCCCGTTTCGAACGCGTACAACGCCACGCTGGTCGCTGGATGTAGCAAGATTTTAGATCCATTTGTAAGCGATTAATCTTGTTCCTCCTAATCTCTTTGTCCCATCATCGAAACGCTGTTATATATCTTTTCGTTTATGATCCGCAGAATGGTTTCTGGGTGAGTGTAGGCTGGTGTTTAATCCTCTTCATCCCGACCATCGTGCTCTGCGTAAAACTGAGCGCGCTCTATCAAAAATCGGATCCTTATCCAGGACCTCTAGTCGAAGCGTAAGTTTTCGCCATTTTCACTTCACACAAGAAAAAATTGACTTTATTTAAACCCAATCGATGGACTCAACGCTATTTAAATGTTTCCAAGATATATAATTAGATATCCGGTGCATGTTTCAATTTCAAATTCCCAAATTCATTGTTGAAGAACCGAAATTAACATTATCACTTATTAGATGTGTAAAAGAAAGATTATAAATTCCGATTCGTTCGTTTGAAATTATCTCGCGAATCAGAAATAAGCAATTGGCACAATTGTATTTGATTATCAAAGAAAATCGTAGAAGAATAAAATTGACTCGTTTACATTTACATTCGGAAACAATCGCTTTTTCTTCGCTGATCTCTGGCCACCAAATTCTGAGCACTCTTTATGTAGAAAGTGTTGAGCCTTCTCTCAGTCTAGTAGTTAATCGAGCTTCCTCGTTATCCCCCAGCATGCACATTACTCGCGCTTGCGATATCTTTCCGTTTTCTAGTCGGCATGAATTATTCCATCTATTTTTGTTTAGCGAGTTTCAAAATTGCATCGCCAATTCTATCTAAACAAATCTCGCGCGGATACTATAAACGCGTTCATAAACACATCATAAATGCGGCTATCTAACTATCCTTATTCTCGATTTTCATCCTCTCGATGAGTGTGAGCTATCAACTAATCATTTTGTCGCGTTAATTTTTTTTATTTTTCCTTTCGTGCAAGAATTAAAGAATAACAAACGTGTTTATCTCGATAACGTGTTTCCTCGTAATAGGGGTTCGATTGTCTGACATTTGTAATCAATTATTCTCTTAATTATTTTGAAAATTTAAGCTTCTTGGATTCGTCTTTGCGTAACGATGACGTAAAGATCGTCAGACGATCGTACTTCTTACCAATCCAGTAGATGATATTAAATTAAAAGTAGCTGTCTAATGTGTGGAATGGTTGTTGGAATCTAACCGCTAACACGCTCCGTTCCAGTGAATATTTGTATGACGCGTATGCAGACAGGGATAACATACCCCTTACCCAGTAAGTACAAAACAAGAACAGCCAAATTGCTCGCATGCTGAATTATGTGTAGCACGTTCGTAAATCCCCTCGATAACGCTGTGAACGCGACATGTTCAATTCGTTCATTTCACGATCCAATGCTCGGATGTCACTTTTTTTTTTTTTTTTTTTTTTTTTCACTCCCCCGTGATCATAGAATTAAAATAATTGTTTTAAGAAAGTAATTGTTTAGAGTGATTTGGTTCGTCGACCATTCTCTTTGTCTGCATGATACAGCCCTTAATTCTAACACGCAACCCACATTTCTATCTTAGACAACGTATTGTAGGATCAGAAGGAATGAAATTGTAAGAGAAAAAGGAAAATTTGTTTAAAAAACGATACGATAAGAATTTTTTAAAATTTAAAATCCTACAGTATTCGATTATATATATATATATATATATATATATATATATAAATCTCTGAAATCTAAATTAATTTTCCTCTACTCGATCTTCGTGTCTGACATCTTCTCGAGTTCGAATAAATTGGCAAAATTACCTTATGAAAATGACCGATTTCTATAAATTGTCATCCCATGTCAATCGAGAAGGTATCAAACTTTTAGTATATTAACGCTCGATATATTCTTCCTTGGAGCTTGTAACTAACAATCGCGTAAAATAAAAAGAAAAAAAAAAAAGAACAGAATCTCTCTACACGCACACGTACACGATAATTTAGTAACGCGGAGGCTAGCTCTCGTCTCGCGTGTATCAAGCTACCTAGGATACATTAATGACACACGTAATACGCTGAAACAGCTTAGCAATTATGTACACACAATATACACTGATATACTTTTCTAACTCGCATGACGAGTGATGACGATCGTAGATCGAAACTCGACTGAAACGTTCCTTTTTTCCTTGCAGCGTTCACGACAAGAAATACGTGTCGCATAGCAGAGATCCTTACGCAAAATACGAAAGTTACGACGGTCCCGCGGGTGGATACAGCGATCGGGAAAGGGTACCCGGGGAAGCGCATCAGAGCACGTCCCACTATCATCATTATTCCAGATATTCCGACGTTGCGCCGAAGTAAGTATTTGGAATTCGAGTCACGTTCGAATCACTATCGTCGTTATCAATTTTGAGAAAATTTATAATAACGAAGCGAGAGGACTATTCTATAACGAAATTTTTTTTATATATAAGATAACGTAGAATTTTTTTTCGAAAGGACATTATAATAAATCGTCGATTATTTTTTTTTTTTTTTTTTTCCTCCTTTTTTAAACGAATCGTGCTGTCGCTTTAACGATTTCTTCTCCTCCTACTCGTTCTTGTTCTCGTTTCTTTTTTTTTTTATCGCATCTGAATTGAATAATAATGGAAAAGTTCGTATTGTATCGATCTAGCGAAGCGTTGGAACGCGTTCTTGGGGGAAGTTGTCAGAGATTCTAGGGTTTTCTCTCATGTCCAATCACACTCGTGATTCGATAGGTTCTTTTAAAAATCGATATTTTCATTTTCCTTTTCTTCCGGTTCACACTAGTTCATCTCTGATTTATTTTGCAGTTCCACCCCCACGTGGCGAAGCCACGAACATACCGCCCCCTCCAAAAAAGAACCTCACAATAAAGTCTTTAGCATATCGGTAGAAACGCAGTAAGTCTTGTAATTTTCATTCGGAGAGAAAAAAAAAAAAAAAAAAAAAAAGTTTAAAAGCTTTCTGTGACACGTTACGCAATTTTCTTTTTTTCTTTTGTCTACGAACTTGTTGCTGTTCGGTTTCTTCGAGGCCTGGTCTTCTTCTTTCACCAACTTTTTTCGTTCGTTTTGTCTTTTCTTTTCTTTTCCTTTCTTTTCTTTTCTTTTCTTTTCTTTTTTTTTTTTTCTTTTCATTTATATATTCGTTCGTTTCCTTTCATCGGTGAGCAGGGTTCCCACTCATCGCGCGAATTTTTGTCTGAATTTTCTTTCGTTTCCTCGATTCTTTCGAACGCCCGACTTAATCGAGGATGGGATCAAGTTCTGAATAGAAACTTGCACGATAATTGATATGATGGACGACGAATTTGAAATTTCAACCGATGTATAATTGTAAGTACTCACAAGAAATTTAATGAATGTTGAATACACATATATATATATATATCCGTAGTTGTAAATCGAACGAACAGAAGAAAAGTATATTATATCTTTCGATATCACGATCTTGTATTTTGTGTAACGAGTTGATTTATAGATAACAGTATATCCGATCTTTCCCCCGCATCGTATCACTTCTACCAGAATAAATCACGAAAAAAGTATGAATTGCATGATTTACCTTGTACAGTATATCGTTGAGAACGAGATTAAATGGGTCAAGTAGTTCCACGAGGATGAAAGATCAAGAAAAAAAAAAAAAAAAAAAAAGAAAAGAAAACTTCACTCTCGATGTACATTATAATTTATTATAATATAAATTATCGTTATAAATAATCTACTCGACCCATTTTCAATGCATCGAAAAATATTGTGCTCGTCCATTTATGTCATTCTTCGATCTCACTCTTCTACCCTCTTCGATCACAATCTTTCTTTAAAGCATTTAAATAAAAGGGTACGAACATATCTCATTAAATTCTCATCCGATCCAAGAATAATAATGATACGATTATCGAAAAAAAAAAAAAAGAAAAAAAAGAAAAAAAAAAGAAAAAAGTAAAAGAAAAAGAAAAATGACAAAAGTATCGTTGTAAAGGTACAAAATATTATATTGACACCATGCAAGTTATTCTTGATCCCATCCGTACATCTCATGCAACCCCGTTGGTCACGCTTTTTTTTCCCGGTTATTTCCAGGTGAGTGGGAACCTTGCGGGGGGGCAACTTCTCGCGTCTCTCGATACGCCTCTGCACGTAAGTCGCAAGACAGATTGTTATCTCAATTGTGTCTCCGTACGTTCGTTTCTTTCTCCTTTTGTTTTTCGTTCTTTTGTTCGACTCAGTTTGCAGTCGCAAGCAAATAGCTTCGCTAGAGCTTTTTGCAGGAATAAAATGAAAACGTTAGGTTTTGCGACCAAAAAAAAAAAAAAAAAAAAAAAAGTAAAAAAAAGAAAAAATATCTTGATCCGTATATCTTGGCCATATTTTACACGCCATCGCCACAATCAGTTGAAAATGTGTTTGAAAGAATTACACAAGAATTAATTAAAAAGCAGCATGTTATTATTAAGAATAGTGTTATATTATCGAGTCACCTTTTTTTTTTTCCTCACGATAGGAGATCACGATACAAAATTTACTTTAATTTCGCTTCAGCAGCTTCGTCATACGTTTGTTCGCTAAAGCATACGTACGTAAAGCTATGGCAAAAGATAACTTTCTTCCATATTCGAGAATATTGTATTATCGTACTTTCTCTCTCTCTCTCTCTCTCTCTCTCTCTCTCTCTCTCTCTCTCTCT